ATGCAACAGAAAGCAAGGAGGGTCTTTGCTTTAAAAATTATTTTAGTCTAGACTGCCTCCTCCAAATGTTCCTTCTTGGAAAATGGTGCTTGTGATATGTGGCTATGGAGTCTGTCAGTTGCACCTATTGAAGCAGAGGACAGACCTGCCACCCGGGCTTTCTAACCTGGTTTGCCAAAGAGCTGGCCACCAGCTCACTCCAGCATCGGTTCTGCAGTGTTGGGATAACACTCCTCTGTTGCCTTCGGTCCCGATGACACACCCAAGCCTTTAGAGAGAGCTGTGGGCTTGTCCGGTTTAGAGGCTCTGCTGTATTCCAGGGACTGCCACCTGAGCCTCTTATCACTTTCCACCCCTCCCTCACAATGTCACTGGTTCCACGTGGCAGCTAGAGAGACATTCTCAAAGTGTGGTCCCCGGACCACAGGATCAGCATCACAGGGAACCTGGTAAAATGCAAGTTCCTGAGCCCGCCTCAGACCTCCAGCTGCATCTTAGCAAGCCCTCTGGGGGATTCTGTGGCACCTTTGAGTGGGAGGCTCACTGTTCTCACAAATTCTGTATCAGAGACCTGTGATCTGGTCCCGTCCACCTTCGTAACCCAGTCCCCAGTGTATCCTGATGTTTCTTTGCTAACCTCCCCAGGCTGGGCTATTCACCTCCAGGCCCTGACCCACATCCTCCCCAGGTGGCCTCTCCTTTTCAGGCGTGTCTCAGTCCTCGCCCTCCCGGGGTGCTCCCCACCTGCACTAAGTCACACTTCCATCTAAGCCTGGCCTGAAAGGGTGGACATCAGGGCTCCTTCTACAGGTGGGCCCTACCTAGTTGCCAGCTGATTGCCAGCCTACTAGTCTACCGCGGTGTCTCAGTGCCCTTTTAATTTGCAGTTCTCTAATTACTAATAAGTCTGAGCAGAGCTTTGCTAGCATACTTAATACATGCACAGTGCTTAGAACTGTACTGGGCCTGGACCAGCTGGGTGTCTGCTGTGATTCTCTACATGCAGGCATCTTTTAAATGATACTTGATGTTTGAAATGTTGGTTAATAGAAAATGCTGTTTCCTATGATGATTTCTGCCTTGTAGTAGGGCTTAGCTGTGTCCACTATTCACTTCTTGCTGTTTCCACGGTCCCCAGCCAGCTCAGGCCCTGCCTCCTCAACCAGGCTGCTGCCGTCTCTGCATTCCCTCTAGACATGGCCTCACTCCAGCATCAGTTCTGCACACTTGAGCTAGAGGGATCATGTCACAGTCCCTCTTACCAGTGGCTTTCCACTCTCCTCAGGCTCAATCCCTAACTACAGCCTGCGGTGCGGCCTCCCTGGGCCAGCCTCTTCCAGCTTCATCTTCAGAGTTCAGATCATATGTCCTTCCCGGATCCCTAAACTAGATCAGTTCTCTGGTTATCTTTTCACTGCTCTTAAGTCGGCCGTAATCACATAATCACATAATCAGTTCTACAACACTCTTCTCCCTGGCCAGACCATCCCGAGGGCAGAGACTCCTGTTGTTTTGCTCCTGTTTTGTGGGCCGAGCAGAGTGCTTTGTATACAGTAGATGCTCCATAAATTCTGGAGTGGATCTCATTAACAACAAAGACCTCTTTAGCACAGAATATTTTAAATCAAGGACAGCCAAAATTCAACATCATCCTAAAACCTCAGAGCTCACGCCTCTGTGTCTGGAGGAAGGTGGCCCCGCCCCACCTCGCACCAACTCCACCCTGGGCCCTGTGGCTGTCCTGTCTTATCTCACCAGAACCAGCAAAGCAGCACTGGAGGAACTCGTGACTCACAGGAAGGAGAAGGGAGAGGCCTTTATGGGAGATAAAAGGACTGTCCTGATGTGCGATACAGTACAACCAAAAATATGAAATCTTATTTTGGATGGCATGTAGATACATTAAAAAGCACCTCGTGGAAACAAAATAAGGAAATCTAATCAGCAAAGGCAATAACTCTCCAAGACCGGCTCCATACCGACTCAGTTCACAGTCTTTATTAATCAGATTGTTTCTCTCTTCCTGCGAAGAACGGTTACTTCGTCCTGGGAAGAACGCCTCACTTTGCCTTCATGTGTTTCAAAGAGTATTGAATCAAATACTTTTATATAGCATATAAGAACGCCCCACTTTAATACTGACATGAAGACTGATGTTCCTCAGACTCTTCTCATTCTACACACCTTCCCTGGGGGCTTCCATCAAATGGCTTCAACCTCCACCTCTGCTGAACCTCCTTACGTAACACTCAGCGTCCTCTAGGGCATCTCCAATACGCCCTCTAACTCAGCTTCCTCCTGTCTCAACAATGGTCTCACCCCACCACCTCACAGCTAGGAAGCCCAGGGCACTGCTGACTCCTGTGGACGAGGCTGCACCAGGAGGCCCCTCAGAAGCATGAAGGGCAGAGCTTGGGGCCCGCAGTGCACGGGCAGGTGGGGGAGGCCCCAGGCTGATGCAGCAAGCCCTTCCTGTTGGCGAGCAGAAAACTGGGGGTGTGGCTGGGGATGTCAAAGGCAGCAAGCTGCCACAGTTCTGTGTTCCCCCAACAGGGGCAGGTGGTGAAGACTCTGAACTTCAGGAGCTTTCAGGAGACAGCAGCCGTGGGAGCCTTGTGCAGCTACTGTCGAGCCTGACTCATTCATATGTGCATCCATCTCTCATTATTCAACCTTCATAGGAGTCCATGCTATCATCTTCCCTGTCCTTGAACTTGGCCCAGACTCTAGTTTTTAATACAGTCCTTCCTATCTGCCCATGTCCATAGATTTTAATAATAATAAATAATAACAAATAAATAATACAATTTATTTACCTACCCAGCACCCTGCTAGCCCCTCTGTATACCTTACCTGCCTCTTGCTGTAACCGCACCCTCCCTGCTGTGGTGATGCTTAGTGTGGCTCCCACAGACTTTGGGATCACGTTCCAAGTCCTCTCCACCAAACAGTGAGGGTCTCCAAGCCCTGGTCCCAGCCTCACTGTGCCCCTGGAAGTCAGCCCTATGCCCTATTCTCACCCTCTGCCTGGCTGGCGAGCCCCGCCCCTCAAAGAGTGAGTTCATGCCTCGCAGTTCCGTACAACCCCCTGAAATAAGCACTCTGCACGCAGCAGTGCTCAACCTCGCTGCCTAGCGGCAAGACTTCTTTTCCCTCTAGGAGTTTTCTGGAAGGCTGGACCTCTGTGTCTCTCCACTGCCTGGCATAGTAGGTGATAAAAGTGACCGAGTGAACAGACAGCCTGTGTGTGTTCTTTTTACTTTTTTATTTCAGTTGCTTGTGTACAAGCAACTAGGTTATAATGTTTGCGTTTGTTAGGTAGAGTCCCTCTTACAGATGTGTCCCACACCCAGGAGGTGAGCCGTGTACTGTCCATTGCGCCCATTAAGTGGGAGCACACCAATCTCCATCCCTCCTCCTCACTCCCCTAACGTGAAGTCAATTAGCTTTTTTTCTCTTATGTGGGTATGTATTAGATCATCTACTGGCTTCTTATCAGTACTGAGTGCATTGGATTCTTGCTTTTCCATTTTTGTGATACTTTACTAAAAATGTGTTTCAACTCCATCCAGGTTAATACAAAAGATGTAAAGTCACCATCTTTTTAGTGGCTGAGTAGTATTCCATGGTGTACTTATACCACAGCTTATTAATCCATTCATACGTTGATGGGCATTTAGGTTGTTTCCACATCTTGGTGAATGTAAATTGAGCTGCGGTAACATTTGTAAAGTGAAATCATAACTGCTGGAAGGTTGGAGATGAGCCCTGAGCAAAGTGGTCTGCGCACAGTGCCCTCGGCACCCCCTGTCCTCCCAGCAGGGTCTGCACAGAGCATGGCTGATGCTCTCTGCGTGAGAAACCCCAAGGATTCTGTCCCTCCCTTCTCCAGCTTCCCAGCAATTTTAAAGATTCTGTAACAGGAATGGATGATGCCTAGTCTACTTAAAATAAGCCAACCCTGTTATTTGAACCAAATTTTCACTGTTCCTGGACTCAGATTCAAAGAAAATTGATGTTTTCAAAGTCTAACTGTCTTGAGACTTTTGAAGTTACTTCAGCTCCATATAACAGAAAGTTCCCTTTCTTCCCTAGAAAATAATTGCTTTTACTAAATAATCATTTTGCCATCTTTAAAAAAATGATGGCAAATCATAGGAAATTCTTCTAAAGAATTTAACTTTGTTCAGTCATACGGCTATGTGTGCAATAAAAATATCCACTGACATCAATTCAGCAGGTTTACAAACCAGAACATGCATTTGAAAAGCTCAGAAGCGTGCCTGCCCGGGAAAGCTGCAAAGGAAAGAAACACAAGGACTGCTTCTGTGCTGAAAGTTCTTCCCGTCTCAGACTGAAGCCCCCCACCATGCCTGTACTTGGGATCCCCTCTGCCTGTAGGGTGTGGCCCTGGCCAGATCTGGGCCTGGCTGCTTCCTCTCTGTCCTTTAGATCTCAGCTTAGAGAGCGTCTCCTCCCAGGTGCCACCCTCGGCCACTGCTCTCTCGTTACTCATCACCCTTCCAGCCCTGCCACTCCCATCCCAGAAAGCACGGTATTTATTATGTGTTACAGAGTTAAGATTATTTGTTGCCCGTGTCCCTCCTTTGGCCATGGGTTGGCCATGATGGTGAGCCTGCCCCTTCTGGCTTGCTGACTTAGCCCAGCACTCAGACAGGTGTGGAGAAGGCGCAGAAGAGCTGGGGATGAAGGAATTCAGGCCAGTGCCCCACATGCCTGGCCCCTTCTCCTTTATCAGCTCTTACAAGGGGGCTTCTAGCCGGAATGCAACCTCCCTCTGTGTGAGTAGGTGTCATATTGGCAAGTAGAATGGTATGATCCGACCACATCTTCTCCTTCTAAATAAATAAATCACCAATTTTATTCAGGGATAAATGCAACCGCTACCATCTGCATGCCATATTCTCCCACGAGTGTGACTGTTGGATACTACGTTAATGGTGCATCCGCTATGCTGAGATTCGGTTTCTCTGTTTCAGGTTAATCCAAAGGAGGGATGTAAAGTTGACCTGGTGTTTAGCACAGAGCGCTACAAGGCAGAGGTAAGCGGCCGTCGAAGCATCCCATTACCAACTCCTATGAGTATAGTTTTAAAAACAAAGTGAGAATCTTGTAGTGACCTGGGGGTTTGGTTTGGTTTCCTTGCTTTGTTTTCTATTTGTCCTCAAGAATTGAAGATCACCAAAAAATAAAAAAAAAAAATAAATAAATAAATAAAAAAGACTTGAAGATCAGAGCTAGGGAGGAGATTTAAGTAGTTCACCCGTTTGGTCTTACGCAGGGCTGCACAGAAAACCATCATCCGACTGTCACCTCCCCTGGGAGAGAATTTCACAGCTCCCTGTGGCATCCCTCCTGGCACCTCAGAGTCCTTCCAGTGACTCACTTTCACACGCCAGCCTATTCCTCTTCCTGTCAGCTGGTGACATTTCTGGCTGTCAGGCCAGCATAGCATGAAACTGACTCCGTGAGCTTCTGGACAGGAGTTCTGCAGAGCACAGGGTGCGCCCAGCGAGTGCCACAGGCATCCTTAGCCTCACTGCAGTTCTGACCAGGCCGCCCATGTCTCGCCAAGTTTCACTTTCCCTGTTTTCGAGAGGAGAGCAAAGGGAAAACTTACTACAGAAATTAGAGCCAGATGATGTGCTGGGCCAGCAGAGCAGGGGCAGGGAGGAAACCAACTCTGGTTCTCTGTGCTGTGCTGAGAAGCAGCCTGAGATGGGCAGACAGTGTCCAGGATTAAAGGGTCTCAGGGCCCGGAGCCTCAAAGGTGGAGACAGGACCTCCCCAGTCCCATGCTTACCAGTACTGAGGAATGCGTTCTAACACGACAACAATATCCCCTTTGTATATTAAGCTAGAATTAAAATTTTCTTAAAATGTAAGAAAGGTGCCTTTGATTTCTAGTGTTGCAAACTCTAAGCGTTTGATTAGAGCTACAGAGAAAGACAATTACTAGATTATTGGGACCAACTATATGCTTCCCTGGGTTTGATCCTGTGGATGCAGTAAGAGCACAGCTAGCTGAGTGAAATGTTCCATTTCGGAAGGTGAAAGAGAGTTCTTTCATCTTCAGACAACCAGTTTGAGTCCATGGAGCTGTTTGGGGAGAAAAAAAGAAAGGAAAACAAAAGAGGAAACTATGTGGTTCTTTTTCTCTTCCTGGAAGTGGCCTCGACATCCAATGGGACTGTACAAGCCGCCTTCTGCCTTTTGATATGCATCTTTTGGGTGCTCCCTTTACCTTTTTTCTTTTCTTTATTTATTAATTGATTGAGACAGATTCTCAGCTCTGTCATCCAGCTGGGAGTACAGAGGTGTCAGAACAGCCTCAAACTCCTGGGCTCAAGTGATCCTCCCAAGTCAGCCTCCCAAATAGCTGGGCCTATCAGTGCATAGCACAATAACCTTTTTTTTTTTTTTTTTTTGGTAGATACAGGGTGTCACTTTGTTGCCCAGACTGGTCTTAAACCCCTGGCCTAAGGGGTTCCTCTTGCCTCAGCCTCCCCAAGTGCTGGGATTACGGGTGTGAGCCACTGCACCCAGCCCTTTTGCTTTTTTCCTATGTTTTATCGATAATCAGCATTTCTAATAAATTTGCTACTCCTACTACCTCTCACTCAAAGCTAGCACTTACAGGAGGAAAAGCTGTCCACTGGAAAGCACTTTTCAGGTTTTTTAGTTCTAGAAGTAGGCTTTATTAATCGGATCTGATTTTGATTACTATTTGTTTCTCTGTTTTTTCTAAGTTTGCTTTTGGTGGTTGCTTTAGCTGGGACTTCACCTAGTTTAAACAACCACAAAAGAATAAAGAAGGGTATTGTCTCAACTGGTCAGGCAACGACGCTGCAAACAGGGATCTTAACTCAGGACCCATGGATGGGTTTGGATGGGGCCAGGACTAGCGGCCGGGGAACTGCCTCACATTCTTAGGCCCAGGGTTGAAGGTATGAGCACCTGTGCATTTTTCTGGGCCTAAGTTCCCTGGCTTTTATTGTCTGAATAAGGACCTACAAGCTCACAGAAATCTGAGAAATGAATCATGCTCATACACCTAATATCTGTATGAAGTGCCAGATGTCTCTGGATTGGAAAGTAAATGAGGATGACCCCAGAATACCCAGTAAATCTACATTTAGTTATAAATGCAGATAAATACAACTTAGGGAGTTGAATGAGTCCCATCTGGATGACCTGTGCCTCCACTTCTTCTGGATCAGATCTCAGAATGGAGAGATGGAGTGAGCACAGAGCCTGGGCTTTGGTATCAGAGAGAGGTGAGCTCAAGTCGTGGCTTACCATTTACTAGCTGTGAGACATGCAGGGGGTTCGTCTTCCAGTTCTAGTATTTTTAAAATTGAAATAAGAAGATCTAATTCACAAGGCAGCGTGAAGACACTGTTATTTTTATATTAAGGAGTGAGCTTCATCTGTTGGTTCAAGTTGGTGCCCTGAAGGCAGCTAAGCATTGTGTGGTCCGCAGTGGAGAAGGAAGTGTTCATTATCTTAGAGGTTTGAGCCAAGAAGTGCTCAACAGATACGGGTGATGTTCCTTTGGAATAGGCCCAGCATCATTTCACAAGGACACAGTCAGAAGGAAAGAGTTTAAAATGACTGCAAAAAGTGAAGCATCATTGTGCTGTGAGGGCAAAAACCACTCTCCATAAAGCAGAAACCACTGCCTCTGTTAATGCCAGGGCATGTGAACAAAGTCCTCTTCTCTGTCTTGGTGGTGGTTGTGTACCTTGGGGTGAGGAAGGGGTGATAAGTAACCTTCCCCTTTAATCCTGTTTCATTCCGAAATCTTTACTTTAGGAAGGCGAGGAAGGTTTGGGGAAATGTTCTGCTCGAGTGTTTTTCAAGAATCAGAAACCCAGACCAGCCATTAACGTAACTTGTACACGGCTCTTTGAGAAAAAGAAACAGCAGCAGGAGGATTACCTGCTTTACAAGCAAATGAAGCGACTGAAGGCCCCCTTGGATGGAGTCAGCATTCCTGGTATGAATCAGTATCTGGAATTTCTGTATTAGGGAATGTATGTAATTACTAACTCTGAAAACGAACAATCATTTACACTTTTATCCCTAAATTGGCACTTCAGTTCAACTGTAGGCTGTCTGTGGTATGCAAACAAAACTCAGAGGTATCATTTTCCTGTTCTTCATTTCTAGTACAATATAGTAATGCCACCAGAAGCTATCTGCGTCCTTTAATGTCCCCATTTCTCACCCCAGAATGAGGAGCACAGTAAGAGCTTAGTCTCCCAGTCAGAGGGTAAGAGGTCTTCAGGATAAGGCGTGCACCTGGGGGTGCAGTTTTGGGGGCTGAGCCCAGAACTTCTAATCTGGGTGGTAGCTTTGGAAACTTTGGATGACAAGACACCTCAGGTGCTGCACTCTGCCATCACAGCCCTGCTCGCGAGGGCTGGCACCCCAGCGGCCTCGGGCCCCTCTGGGGTACTGCAGCAGGATCACGCTGGTCTCATTTCAGGTCAGCAGCCAACGGGCAGTGGTGCCGTCTCTGGGAGCTGGCCCTGCCTCTGAAGTGACTCAGCTGAACTGCAGCAGAGCGCCTGCTCTGGCTCTCATAGAGTGTGTGGGCAGCAGCTAAGACTCAGCACATTTACTGGAAAATCCAATTTTCAAAGCCACAGGAGTTATCTCTGGACTTGCACTGGGTATTAGCCGTGACATCTGGCCACCATGGCGCTGCTCACCACACACTCCACCTTGGTTCACTCATCCGCCCAGATGGGTGGTGATCCCATCAGCCCTGAAGGACAGGACCCGTGGACTCCAATCCAGAGTGTCTCTGCCCTCCCTCAGGTTATTCAGATTGAGTGTTCTTAAAAACCTGGAAGTGGAATCCATTCCTTGTCTTTCTTAAATTCTGAGCCGTGGATGATTCTCATGTAATAGACAACTGGAATCAAGTCCTGTTGCAACAGGATTACTAGGCTTTGGACACTTTTAAATGGTGTAGCTTAACTGGACCAAGTTCACTTAGTAGTCCTGTATTCCTGTAAGGGTCACTCTGTCTCAGTCTGACTTAATGTAGCTACTACAAAACGTCCTCCAAATAACCTTTTTAAAAGTCACAGTAAATTTAGGGAGACACTTAATGGGGCCTATGTATTGCCTGTCCATAAATGATACTTAAAACTGAAAAGTTTTGGTTTTAAACAAAGCAAATTTTAGCCAGTTCATGTCTCAGCAGATTCTGTTCAGTATCTTATCAATCCAAGGACCATTGTAGTGCCTGGTCAGTGAAAAGATCTAATCCATTTCAAATATCCTTGCTTCCCATTGCTTTTCCTCCCTCCAAAAAAGTTGTCTGGTTTTTATTATGAGTAAAAATTTCACTTCTTCTAATGAATTCATAAACTTCTACAGACAAACTCCAGCAAATGGCATCTCTACTAAAATAGAAAAACTGAAGCAAGAGGATCGTTGGAGGTTGCTATGAGCTATGACGCCACGACACTCTACCCAGGGTGACAGCTTGAGACTCTGCCTCAAAAAAAAAAAAAGTATAACAAGAAACATGTTGCTATCAAGATGTTGAATCCAGAGTCCTACCTTACACAATGTTCTGAAATCCTTATGGTTCCACTGCTCTTACCAGGAAGGCACAACAAACTCATTCATACAGTGCTGACACTCCGCCCGAGAGTGGACATCTGAGTCATAGCCCCTGTGGACTACTTAACACATATGCTGGCAGAAAAACAGCATTACCAGGTGAAGGCAATGGCCTAGAACAGACTAATGGAGAGGCTAAAATTGCTCAGTTCTACACTTGAAGGCACTTGGATGTTAATTAACCGGAAAGCCTTAAGGAACAAAAACCCCACTTGGATGAACCATGCGACCATGAATGATGACAGTGCAGGAAAACAAACACCTTTTTGGTTTACTCTCAACAGGTTCCTTCTAAACAATATCCCCCTACTGCTGGGCCCTTGATGCTGCTCATATTCATTTCTAAGTCTCTCACTGTGCTCTGCAAGCGTTAAAGCTTGTCTACTTCTTCACGGCCCAGAGCCTGGCCTGGCAGCACACACCTTCAGGGGTAGTCTTGATCCTGTTTTGCTGAGATAGAGACATTAGACTCTGTAATTTCTTTCCATGTCAAGAAGTCTCTAATCTTCCCAACTCTCTCCTTTCCTCTAAGACTCCTTTTCATTTACATTGTGTCCTTGATTCTGGCTTCTCTGGCTTCTTCCTACATTGGCCCATTAGTGTCACTCCTGCTTTTGAAAGCTTCTGTCAGCCAGTTCCTTCTGTTGCCCCAGAGGATGGTCGAGATCAGAGCTCCGTTGATCAAGTCATAGAACCATCTCCCATGTTCTCTTCTATTCTTCAAAAGTAGATTCTATACACACTGCTTCATCCTCAGCCTCTTCCTATGTGACTTCTACTCTATGTTTGTAATTAGAACTGCTGTACCCTGGTGACCCAAGGACCACCCAGATCACCCAGCCCACAGTCTTTCGTGTTCCTCACCCTTGTCGATCTTGACGCTGCATTTAATACAGTTAATACCAAACTCTACTTATTTTCACCCCAAAGGTCTACACATTCTGGGCTTCATTTACTTCATAGTCCATGTATTACTGTTCTAAAGCTGGTTAGAGACCGTGGTCATTGTCAACTCACCCCCTAACATTTAGTAACTTGCCGTTTCCTATCAAGCCTATGTCCAGGGTCCTGGGTGGACCCATCTGATCTTCTCTGAACCCAGTGCCCCTCCCTCCATGCTGGTCCTCCTTCTCCCTGAGACCACTGAACAGTCCCCCACCCAGTCCCTCAGATCTCAGTCCCCCCTCTATCTGTCCAGCACCAGCAGTGAGAGTCATCTTCCCACACTTACTGATGAATCAATGTCCATGCCCACCCGGAACCGCACGCAGGCCAGGCACGGTCTGGTGCAGATATAGTAATAGTTTATAGCCTATCAGCACCAGTCCCTGAGCCTGAAGCTGCCCAGGGCCTTTCTACCTTCGTGAGCTCACTCTCTTACTGTGCCCCTACTCCCACCCCCGCAGACATGGCAGGAATTCGGGGTCCAGCAAAAATCTCATGTCTGTGAACCTTTCCCAAACCTCTCCAGCCTGAAGAAACCTCTCCCTCCCCGTTCTCCCTCAGCTCTCTGATCGTCCCCACTTAGCAGTGTGTAAGCTGCACCTGTGTACTGTCAACACGTGGGGGCTGAGGACCCATCTTTTTATGGGTCCTCAGCACAAGGCAGTCGGTGAATACTCTTTGAATTGCCTGCTAGAATAACCCAGCCAAGTCAAATTCTACCAATACAGAATAGAACTTAGGCTGAAGACGGCTTTACCAAGAAGGATTGGTTTCCCAATAAGCTTGTTGGGATTCCTCATGCACTGTGCCATTATTCGGCCTTAATACAGACTATGAACACAGACTTAATGCAGCTCTGCAAAACTGCACAAAATGATGGTCCATGTATAATTGTCCCATAAATTAAGGACTCAGAAAAATTTAAGTTCTTAAACTCACAAAAGATTATCACTAATCATTGAATCCCTACCTCTAGCAGTGTCTGATATTAAGTAGTGTTTTAAAAAATGTTCGCTGAATTTAAAAGATTTTAGGTACAAAAAATGCTGTAGGAAAAATCCAACTGATCACTTCATGTGTTCAAAGCAAGGAACAGAGACACTGCCAACACAGCGGCTAGCTTTAAGGTCTAAGGTTAGAGAAGGGCAGATGAGGAAGCAAAGACCATGGCATTCATTGACTGGTGACCCAAACCAAAAGGCAACGTGGAGACCACGGACAGATTCTTTAAACCTAATTAAAAATACTCCTCAACCAACAAGACTTGAGATTAAACAGCGTCCTAACTCTTACTATGCATGCATATAGTGCACCACACACTCATCACACTGTTTGTAACAGATTTCCTCAGAGCGGCAAACTGAATCAAGCATATGCCAGGGCTGTCCAGAAAGTGTCCAGCCACATGTGAAAGCCACACTGAAATTAATTCTAGTGAGACAGGAAAAGTGAGTTAGTAGTGTGTCCCTACTTTTCCTATTATACATGGCTGGATACCTTCCGGACAGCCCCCCTAAATCTCAATACTAACATAGAAATAGACACAAACACATGACATGTCTGGTTCAAGGCTTTGCTGTAACAGAGAGGACTAGTATGACTGTGTTCACACCCTACGTCATTATTGAAATTTCTGAAATTTTGCCTGGAAAATGCCTTTGACAGCATTTGTATTAATAAACGTTCTTTCCCCCTCCTTCTCAGACAGTCATGGACACATTGATCCCTCTCTGAGGCCCGTCTGGGATCTGGCTTTCCTTGGCAGCTCGTACGTGATGTGGGAGAAGACAACCCAGTCTTTGCACTACTACCTGGCCCAGCTCACTGGCGTGAAGCAGTGGGTAAGGAAAATGAAAATTCACCTGTGCCACGAGAGACATGGCCCGTGCAGTGTTCTTACACTGAATTAATGTGGATTTCCAATTGTATAGCAGGAGTTTTAATCACATCTCACTCATTCTGCAAATACCCGAGTGTCTGCAATGGACCAGGTGTCGTTTTAGTGACTAGGGATACAGCAGTGAACACTGAAATTAATTCTAGTGAGAGAAGAAAAGTGAGTTAATGAACAAGTAAATATACATCAAATGAATGCTGGTAAGTGCTACAGTACAGGAACAAGAATGCAGGGTGCTGAGAGATCTACTACTTACTTACACAGTCGGAATGAGGCTGATTTGAACAGAGGTATCACTGACGCGGAAGCCAAAGGTAAACGAGGTGAGCCCTGCTGCCATAGGGAAGAGAATGTCGGGCAGAAGGAATCAGGCAGCCATGTGGCTGACATGTGGGACAAACAGCAGGGCGGCTAGTGTGCCAGGAGACAAGATTAAATGGAGGCCAAGAAGGGGGGCTCAGTTCACATAAGGCCTGGGAGGCCATCACGAGGGTCTTATCTTCTGTCTTACCTGCTGTAGCAGAGCAGTGACTGATCTGATTTAACAGAGCAGGATTGTTCTTGCTGCTATGTTAAGAGACCAGGAAGGAGGCAGGAGGATCAGTGAGATGTTGCTATGACCCAGGTTAGGCCTGGTGGTGGCCCGGACCAGGGTGGTGAGAAGTATCTGGATTCTGATAGACTGACAGATTTGCTCATGGGTTGGCTGTGGATATCATAGAAGAAGAAAAGCTAAGGGTGAGTCTTAGGATTTTGGCCTGAGTAACTGGAAGGATAGAGCTTTCCCATGCTGATCAGAAAGGCTAGATATAGGGAGGAGCAGATTGAGGGCAAATTATCAGGGTTTGGGGTGTGCTAGTGATCTGGACGTGATAGTCTGAAGTTCAGGAGAGAAGTCTGTGCTGAAGTCGTCACCATCTAGCTGGCATTAAAAGCCTCGAGTCTGGATGAGATCATAGGTCATTAGTGTAGACAAAGAAAGTAGGTTACGTAAGGACGGAGTACTGGGACACTTCTAACTTTAGAGGCTGGAGAGATGGGAAAAGAAAGTGTTTCAAGGATGCAGGTGGCCTGGCAGTATCAAATGCTGCTGGAAATTCAAGTAAGATGAGGACTGAGAATTGCCCATTCAGCTTAGCAACTGGAAGAGCTATCTCACGGACACAGCGGGGCAAAAGCCCTCAGGACAGGATGAGAGGAAAGAAGGCAAGAAATCTCCATCTCCTTCAAGAAATGCAGCTATAAAAGGGAGTAAAAGAACAGAAGGGGATGGTAGCTGGAGAGGATGGCTGAGCAAAGGGTTGAAAAAGAGTTTCTTTCAGTTGTACTTTTAAGCTGGAAAAGGAAACAGCATATTTATGTGTTAATGAGAATCCTGCAGAGAGGGGCAAAGTAGGAATTGCATGGAAGAGGGAAAGTTGTTGGAATTCCTATCTCTGAGTAGGCAAGAGGAATCTGACCAGTCCAGATGGTTTAGGAGAATCCACCTGCAGGGAAAGCTGAGAACAGCGCCCAGAGCAGGGAGGAGGGTAGCTGCCAAGGTGGGAGCTCGGAGGAGCGAGAGTCTAACTGCTTCTGTCTTCTCAGTGCCATCAGCTGAGAGCGAGGATGAGGCAGCAGGTGCCCAGGGGTGGTGGGGGGACCATGGGATGATGCAGGCCTCCTGGCCTCTGGGCATGAACTGCGAGTTGTTACTCGCTGCTGTGTGGGTATGTGGTAGACAAATGGTTGGATTTAACTAGTGTGAGGGCTTCTGTCAGGCAAATGTTATGTAAAGCAGTGAGATGGGCATTTTCCAGGTAAACAAATCAACTTCTTTGAGAGGCAGTCTGAACCAATCAGAACACCAACTTTAAAAACTCATTTTCTTGGGCAGCGCCTGTGGCTCAAAAGGGTAGGGCGCCAGCCCCATATGCTGAAGGTGGCGGGTTCAAACCCAGCCCTGGCCAAAAAAAAAAAATAATTCATTTTCTTCATGGAGTCATCCCTGGGTGCAGACCAGTTAGTATCTTACAATGCAGGATTTAAGTCAGCACTTTGAATGCCAACAATAAACCCTTAGGTGTGCCTTCAAAGGCCACTTGTAAAACCTTTTTTTTTTTTTTTACTTATAAAAGTGAACATATTTCTTTCCCCTTGTAGAATGCTTTTTAATATAAATTATCTTCTAATTGATTGTTGCTATGTAACAAGTCAGGATACAGCAGAGTCCTTTTGCTTGATAGAAGCTTATCTCCATCTCTCTTGGTCTCTTATCTACTAAGATGACCGTATCCTCACCAAGATGCTTTTACCGTACTTGAGAAGTTAGGAGGAAGAGGTTTCTTTAAAGCAGTGGTTCTCAACCTTCCTAATGCCGTGACCCTTTAATACAGTTCCTCATGTTGTGGTGACCCCCAACCATAAAATTATTTTCATTGCTAATTCAAAACTGTAATTTTGCTACTGCTATGAATCATTATGTAAATATCTGATATGCAGGATGTATTTTCATTGTTACAAAGGGATTGCGACCCACAGGTTGAGAACTGCTGATTTAAAGTATAGAAAATAGTGTCAAGATAATTTTAAACTAATTGTAACGAGTGTGAGAGGAAACTCAATGGGACTAGAACAACACAATGTACAGATATTAGGTCCGAAAATTCTCCCAAACAGCCCAAACAGAGGAATCCGAGACACACTCCGATGTAAAAGGAAAGAGGCGGGGTTTTTATTCAAACCCGGGTTTGGACTCTCCTAGTGTACACACCAAGGAAGAGCCCCGAACCCGGGGTGTGTGGGGTTTTTATGGGGTATAGAAAGCAAAAAAGGGAGAAGGGTACGAGTACACTTTTCATTGGTGGTTAGTGACTTCACTAGCAAAGTTACAGTCTTAATTGGTGATTGATGATTTCACTAGTAAAGGGGAATTTGGATTGGTACAGGTGAGGGGTGGGGGGATTTCTTAACTGGGGGCTAGGGTCGTGACAGCTTGATTAGGTGGCTGGAGGGAAATTACCTGTCAAGGTAATAGAAACTCATTGTTTATTGTGGTAAGGTGACTCAGTTAACAAGGAAATGGGAACTTATGGCTCTGTTGCCCAAGGTGGCATTATTGATAGCTGCAGTTGAGCAACTAGGAATGGAATGAGAAAAGACTGCAGGGTGTGGCCCTGTGGGCTAGGACCTTAGGAACAGTACTTTTGCAGTAAACAACAAAATGGAGCTGGTCTGGTCCTCACACAAACAGAAAGAAATAAGTTAATATTTCTTTATAAAGAAACCTCTGTTGCCCAGGCTGGAGTGTAGTGGCATGATCACAGCTCACTACAGCCTCAAACTCCTGGAGTCAAATCATCTACCTGCCTCAGCCTTCCAAACAGCTGGGACTATAGGTGTGTGCCCCACACACCAGGCTAATTTTTATTTACTTATTTATTTTTAGAGACGGAGTCTTGCTATGTTGCCCAGGCTGGTCTCTAACTCCTGGTCTGAGCAACCCCCCTGCCTCAGCCTCCCAAATAGTGGGGACTGCAGGTGCCACCAGGCAGGACTGTTGCAGTGTCAGTGTTTTCCCTTCTCTTCCAGTTGCACATGACACATTTTTACTACCAGGACATACTAGGGGACAGAAACAGCAGCCACGTCTCTCTCGTTCTCAGCAGGCTCTGCCCATTAATATTCCTCAGCCAGCCTGTAGGTTGGAAAGTGGGGACATACTTGTTATAAATATGTTTTTAGATAGCTAACAAACAAAAGTGCAGAAGAAGAATGGTCACTGAGTGCGTTTTACTTTTTTTTTCTTACTCTGTGATGTCTGGGTTTTAGATAAATAGTAATTGAATACACAGATGGTTCACTGGGTCACCAGGGCAAATCACTTGCTTGTTAGGGCCCATTACACAAGGACCAACAAAAGTGATCGGAGTCCTTCAAACTAACACAAATCAAAATCACTGGAGCAATTGGGAATTTGGTTTCCAGGTTGATACACACTTCGGATTAGAGTTTTCTTAAGGAAAAGTATGTAAGTATGCAGATTTTCAATTCTGCTGTTCAGTGGTCACTGATGAGTCCCATCATCTTCTAGCAAAAGAAGCAACAAGCAATGATTTTTAAAAAGTCACTAAAAGCAGAAATCCTAACACTGCCCCAGGAGACAGGCAGCAGAGCAGTGAGTGGGGCTTAGAAAACCAAGACAGCGCCAAGGGAGGAAGTGCCTGGAGGGCTCTGGGGCCACAGGCAGCTCAGACAAGTATGGAGATTATATAATTCTTCCATAAACTTTTGAGGGGGGATTACCATCTTTACATTGAGGGTGAGCTTACCTTTTAATGCAATTGTGTGAGGAAATACAAGCTTATAAACTCACAGCCCCAAATGAATAAGCCCTAAGGAAAGAATGGCAAAGAAAAGAACTGAAATACACATATAAACTAAGACCCATCTTACTACACAATCACTGCTTCAGAACTAAAGAATAGACATCATTCCCAATACCATGAGGACTATGGCAAGGACAAGGGGCATATGTTGGCTAGGAGAAAAGAAATGGGTGTTTTCCTATACCTCTAGCCTTCGATGTGAATGGAGAAAAGTAAAACTGAGTATTGTTCCAACGTTTATCAGTACCAGATTTTGTGAGTGCCCCCAACCCCCTAGCTGACGGGCACATCACTATCGATCGGCTTGTTTTTACCAAATAGAGGTGTGTCCATCAGCCAAAGGTACATTAAAGACCCTATCTCATCTACCCTGAGATGGGCTGAGAAATCTGCTTTTGATAGCTGATATTACTAACATGAACTTGCTCACTCTACGAAAACCACTGGGTCAGCCAGGGATCATTCTCCTTTTGGGGGGTGTGGAGGAGGTGAAATCATGAACACATAAACAGGAACAAACAAAAACTTCCGGTCTGTCTCCAGGAAGATTAAAACGCTGAGTTACCAGAAAATGTAACTATAAATCATCATGAATTTGGACCACAGGGTTTGACATTTGTGATTTGAATAGAAGCCGAAAAGACTATTTCTGAATAACATTAAAAATAATAACTTCTTGGCAGAGCTTGGCTTGGTTGGGGGTGGTCTAATCCTGGAATATTTCGCCAGATTGGAATGTGCAGTGTCCTTTTCTGCAGTTGTTTAATAGCTGTGCTTTTTGGTTGGTTTAAGGGCTTACTCATACAGGCGAAAGAATCTATAAAAACAGAAATGTAAGTGGATGTTTCAAGAACTTTAATGAGGAAGTTCTTAATCAAATGATAGAGTGCCCGCGTGTTATCACGACTTAGATTTTTATATTAAAAAATGAGTAACACTTTGTGTTTTTAGCAAAAATAGTTTGTAACACGGAGTTGGTGTTGTCCCATCATTTGTTTTAATCTCTGCCTCTTTTTTTTCCTCAAATCTGAAGACTGCCATGATTTCCTTCAGATATACGAGCTTCAAAGACAGAACAAGAAGGCATTCTCCAAAAAAGAAAAAACACTTTAAATTTAAAAGTAAAACCATAAAACCAAGGTTTTAAATTATAACAATCCGTGGTAAATGATCAAGCTTTGAGAACTAGTGCAGATGGCCAGGTGCTGTGGCTCATGCCTGTCATCCTAGCAGTTTGGAAGGCCAAGGTGGAAGGCCTGCTTGAGGTCAGACGTTCCAGAAGTACTGCAGATAATAATCACAAGACAAAGCAGCCAGCTGGGGTGTGGAACGTCTTGGGATAGGTTATCATTTCCTTCCAGTGTAAAGACAGTCACCAAAGGAGGGTCAAACGGCTAACTACACTCCCCAAACCAACCAATGCCAGACTGATCGCTGGAACCTTCACTAACTACCCTCTTGTGAGACACTGGGTTTTCTCTCATGAATTCTCTGACTCTGCAGCTTATGCTTCTGGCTGCTTGGAACATTCCTGGGTATCCTGTGAGGCAGGAGGGAAACCTACCCGATACTGCAAAGAAGATGTCACAGAAAAAGCTGTCAGTTCCTGACTTATCTGGTGCCTTCCTTGCATCTTTGCCCTTCAGGACCCTCCTCACCTAGTGGAGATTTCATGGCTTGTAAAAGCCTCCATCAAGTACTTTTTTTTTTTTTTTTGGTTTTTTCATATTCCTTAGTGGTCTTTATAATAACCTGCTAGGAGAAGACTAAAATTATAATCCATATTTAAGTTTTTATTTAAAAAAAATTTCCTGGCTGGGCACTGTGGCTCACACCTACCACTCTGGGAGGCCGAGGCTGTGGATTGCTTGAGCTCAGGAATTGGAGACCAGTCTGAGCCAAAGCAAGAACCCTTCTCTAAAAATAGCTGGGCATTGTGTTGGGTGCCTATAGTCCCAGCTATTTGGGAGGCTCAGGCAAGAGGATCATTTGAGTCCCAAGAGTTTGAGGTTGCTGTGAGCTGTGATGCCACAGTACTCTACCCAGAGTGACAGTCTCAAAAAAAAAAAAAAAAATTCCTCTCTTCCATTTTTAGTACTAAACAAACATTTGCAAAAAAAAAAAAAAAA